AACTCTGATTTCTGGTATATTAATGTTTATCAAATATGAACCTTACTGAATTCAAAATGAATATTGGGCAGGGAATAGAGCAAAAGAGCATTTCTCTTCATACCAAAATCCTCGGGTCTGTAAGACTCAAAGTAAGACTTGTTATTTCTAAACATAATACAACCTTATCACTATACAAGTACCTAAAACTTGGTGTTTTTTAATTATAAAATCCTAAGCCTCAAAGTCATACTGTAGTCTGGAAACTAAATTCTTTCCAGGAACCATACCACTACCCAAATCTGTTTCTTTAGGGTCTCTATTATAAAGCTACAGAATCTGAAATTTTCCAAAGTCAGTGATGATGTGGGAGTTGGCTTAGGTATAGTGACTCTATGAACATCATTATAGAAGCGTAAGCACTTACAGTGAATAGGACATAATAAGGCATTGTAATATGTAATATTCAACATTCACTACAAGGAGTTCATTTAAAATACAGTGGAGTCACCTCAGTCTCAGTGGATGGTAACTCTATCTTTCAGTTGCTCAGGCTTTACTCCTTTCACAGCCCACTGGCAGGTTCTTTGGCTCCTACTTCTGTAGGAAAGACTCAAACAGGTCAGATGAGTGTAGGTATGGAAGGAATTCATGAAAACGAGAGTAATAGTGAACGGCAGCAGCCATGCAGGCAGCAGAGAGCAAGGAAGAACAGAGGGAGGAATGGAAGTGCATTGAACTCCTGCTCAGCATAGAGCAGATCCCTTGCCAACTCTTAAAGCCAGAGTCACCTGGCGTTCAGTGTCAGCTTGGATCTGGGAACTAACCCTCTACCACTCCAGGATTTGGGGGAGCTTCAGAGCACTGGATGGAGTGAGATTATATTTTAGAACTTCCCAGAGCAAAGAGGCTTTTGGGCAGACTACTAATGGGCATGATCATATAGCTGCAGTCCTGTCTGGGTCACCCAGGCAATGGAAACTTATAGGCCCAAATCAGAGATCTCAAAAGCCCTTTCCTACAGAGAGACTGAAGACTTACCCTTGAGTGCAGAAAACTGAATGAAATAGCTAAGTAACAAAAACACTTAAAATGCAGGAAGTTGAGCAGTGAGAAGATTTAAGGCAAAGTATACACCCAAAGAAAGGGAAGTACAGGCAACTTCAGAGAGGATTCTGTCTTTTAAGGCTTTCAAGAATGGGGCAAAGGGCCAGGAGGGTGTAGGCTTGACATGTGGTCTCATGATGTCTACCTCCAATGACAGACATTGTGTTATCATCCATAGTCTGCCTTCTAGATACTCTGTAACATAAACATAACACAAGGAATTTCTTGATCCTGTTCTTCTCCAAGATAGTAGTTACCACCAAGCAGTGGGGACATATCATTTAGTACTACTTGCCCTGCCGTAAGACAGGGTCGGTTATTGCCTAATTACCATAAAATGTTAGGAATCTTACCTCCTTGCACCGTAGTTTTTAAAATGGAATCTTAGCCTTAAGATGGAGTCCCTTCTGTTCTTACTATACTATTAACATCTCAGAAGTTTCATCATAGGCAGGAAAAATTAATCATGATGCTCGTCCCATGTCCCTGCCCTACATCACTTCCAAAATATATCCAGAATACCATTGTTTCTCATCACCTCCACTGCTTCTTTCCTGGTCTGAATCACCATCTTCTTGCATGGATTACAGCAAAACTGGATGTTAGCAGATAACAGAGAAATACCTTCCAAGTTCTAAGGGAAAATGTATTTGAGCCCAGAACTGCAGGTCTAATCAAAATGAAGCATGGATAGGGAAGAAATAAAGTCCTTATCAGACATAGAAGGACTCAAAGCTTATGTACCATGTACTCTTTGTGCATGTATGTGGGATGAGGGGTGGGGAGAAGACAAGTACTTTATATACTTCAGCAAACAAAAAATAAATGAAATGGAGAAAGAGTGGGTTTAAAAAAGAAATAGGATACAAAAAACAGTAGAACAGAGGAGTGCAAGGAAAACATATCCCAGGATGATAGCTAAAATTCACTTTGTCCAAGTTTGATAAAGTTGATAAGAAGCTTAAAATGAGTTTGGGGTTGTGGCAAGGAAGATATTTTTCTTCTGTCAAAGAAAAACAAACAAAGGCAAGAATATACTTCAAGAATCCCAGGATAAGAGCTAAAAGCATTCTGAACAAACATGGTAATGCCATGGTATAAGAAAAGAGGTGTTACAAACTATAAGACACTCTTAAGAGAAATTAAAGAGGACACTAACAAATGGAAACTCATCCCATGCTCTTCACTAGGGAGAATTAATATCGTCAAAATGGCCATCCTGACTGAAGCAATATACAGATTTGATGCAATCCCTATCAAATTACCAACAACATTTTTCAACAAACTGGAACAAATAGTTCAAAAATTCACATGGAAACACCAAAGACCCCGAATAGCCAAAGCAATCCTGAGAAGAAAGAATAAAGTCAGGGGGATCTTGCTCCCCAACTTCAAGATCTACTACAAAGCCACAGTAATCAAGACAATTTGGTATTGGCACAAGAACAGAGCCACAGACCAGTGGAACAGAATAGAGACTCCAGACATTAACCCAAACATATATGGTCAACTAATATATGATAAAGGAGCCATGGACATACAATGGGGAAATGACAGTCTCTCCAACAGATGGTGCTGGCAAAACTGGACAGCTACATGTAAGAGAATGAAACTGGATCACTGTCTAACCCCATACACAAAAGTAAATTCAAAATGGATCAAAGACCTGAATGTAAGTCATGAAACCATAAAACTCCTAGAAAAAAACATAGG